TAAAGCGTTAATCACACAGAACCCATTAATGAAGCGATACTGAGTAGAACCCTCAGGATAGCCTATCGCGTTCACACACAACAAACAATTCAAGGTGAAACTATGATAAACAGAGTGCGAAGAGAGAATATTTTTTTGTTTTATTATTATGTGACATCTGTTAAATTTGGCAAGCTACACAAGATTTTATTACGCGTAAATAGATGGCAAGTTTTTTCTTCCCATACTGTAGATGTAGCAGTTACCTTATTATTATGTGTAGTATTGTTGCAATTTGATTAATACATAAACTCAAAAGTCATACAAAAACTCGAATAGTTATAGTCTAATGCGGGAGTAACAATAGCAGAAACATGAGCCAAATTCTTCGAAACGAAGAAAGTGCACAAGTGATCAGTTATTGTTCACAACACTGCTGAGGGTTATAGGTTAGTATCGAACAAAATACTCACATTTATCACCTGCAGGATTAGGATGTGATATGCTTTAACTATATAAGATGAATATGAAATGTAGTGTTCTTGTCTCAGTTATCCATTTAAGAAACTTCTTGAATATAATAATAACCCAAAATACTTTTCAAAGAATGGATTTATTAATATGACTGAAAGATCATATAAAGTAAAAGATTCGTAAATACACTATATCGGATAGAATTTATTATAGATGTTTTTGAACCTCTATCCACTATATCGCGATTTTAATTAGTCTCCACTATAAAGGAGGTCCACTATAAAGAGCGGCACGTGTAATCCTCATTCTTAGATTACTTAATCAAACGTTATTGAAACAACCTAAATATAAGTTCAAGAATTTTTCGTAACTAGTAATGCATATCCGAGACTGCACAAAATGAAGTCATCAATCCTCAATCAGGAATGGATAAAATCTTCTCGATTTATTTTATTCCACTTATAAAAACGTTTGAACAAATGAAACATAATTATTCAAAAGAATTTAAAATCGAAATAAGCAAATGGCCCGTTTAGAGTCATCGAAGACTATTGGATGCAACAACAGGAATCTATAACAAAAAATGCTACTAAACTCGCACATGTTTGTTAGATACAATCAAGGTAATTCTCTAGCTACAAGTTATTCTTCTTACCAAATTGATCTAATGGACGAAACTTGCCCGACAAATGCGCATATTTTACAGCGCATTAAAAATTCTGGATTGTTCGCTTGTTTTAGGCAAGTGACCCAACAATACAATTGTATTTATACGAAAACAGGGACACGCGCAGATTCAAATTGAACCCTCGAAAATTTTAACCTTTTCACATCCTGAACCAACCCAACTCATAATGGACGACGCAGAACTCCAAGCCATAAGACAGGCAAGATTACGAGAATTGCAAGCACAAGCAACACAAGTAAGTATGGTTACTAGTAGACTACTGTAAAGATCAGACGGAAAGAAAAGACGCAAAATGATCACTGTATAGACGTATGGGGACGTCTTATTTAGACGATAAACAGTAGTAAATACAATTATTACCAAGAAATCCTGTTAAAAATGTCATAACGTGTTTGTTAACAGGGCGGTGGCTCAAAATCATCTGCAGAGGATGCTGAAAAGAGACGGTAATTTCCTGGCGTTTCGATAATGTTTATAAAAGACGCTGGTATACAAGAACTGGAATGATAGTTTATTTATCAATTTATACTGAAGAAGTAAATCATGGAATATCTTAATTGAATTCTAGTGAAATGGAAGAGGCGAGGCAGACAATGGTAGGCTTTGAATCAGTTGAAAGACATGGACAAATGATCTGATGAGTAGATCCAAATATTGACAGAACAGTTCTAATAAATGATCGTTCCCAACAGCTAGTTCAAATACTTGATAATGAAGCTCGAGAGCGCCGTAAGTAACTGATATCATTTTTTCGTCGCTTCGTTTGGGCGGTTTCTTTGCTAATACTCTTGTTTGTTCAAAGTTGCCCGAATCTCTATGGTAAAAGCGGATAAAGCTCGCGGGGTTGAGGATTTGCTCCTGCGCATGGCTCAGACTGGCCAATTACGAGGGAAAGTCAGCGAGTCGCAGTTAATTGATTTACTAGGACAGATCAATCAACAGGCTAAGCCGGAGACAAGGATTGTGGTATGTATGGGATCCTAGGAGGATAATGATTATTGATGGGAATGAAAAGAGGAAAGAATGATTGGCGTCGTGCGATAACAGAATTGATATGAATTCTATCTTGTAGTATCGACGACGATTTGATGGTGACGACGATGACGAAGAGTACGACTTGTAGACACAGTGCGTCATTGAAAGTACACGGCACGAATATTAATTCGCCGTCTTTGAGAATGATATATTACATGCAAGCATTTCTTTTCCATGAAACATAATATCTGATATCTTAACGTACATAAATTTAAACAATCGGAAATAAAAATTAATCCATAGTCGCCCTTACGTTGCGTTTTTAACCCTTTTTTATTGGAATTTTTATCACCTGTCCATGCATTACTTCTCAGTGATTTTCTAAAATCCCAATAAGTCCAAACAAAAGCTAACACCAATAGGCACGGTCAAGTTATCTGTTCCCCATAGACTAATCGTCTCCAAGATTGCCGAAACGACCGCACCAACACCTGCCCCAGCGATGATATTCCATATATCCAGACCAGGAGGGGACATGATATTCCAAACCAAGAATATCGAAAAAAAGGTGAAAAGGAAGTTTGCTTGAATGCCTTCAATGGTGCGGTCGGGGATGAAAGACAATTTACGATGACCGTACAAACGTCCAATGATAGCAGCAAAGGCGTCACCATATGTCATGGCCATCAGTCCAGCTGAGAAAAGAGTAAAAACTCATCCTAAGTAGCTGTAACGTGAAAAAGAGAAATAAATGAATTTGAAAATTTCACCTATCGCGATGTAAGCCCTTCCTCGAGGAAATCCATCTTCCCACCCATCGCTAAACCAATAAATCAGAAATGCGCACGAGAATGCAAAGTAGACAGTTCCCCCGGTCGCACCTTGTTGAGGATCTATATGCATACAAAATTTATCGCATTCAAACGACGTAACTTGCCAATTACCAATCCATCTTTTTGTTATCTTTACTTACCTATAGCCTTGAACAGTCGAATCTTCAAAAGAATCGCGTTTACCAGGATAAATGACGTAAACAAAAGACACACATACTCCCATTGATCAAACAAATATAATGTCACGAACGCATATGTTCCTGCTCCAACGTGCACAATCTTTCGAGAGATTTCAACTGGGATGCCGGACATTCGCTTATAGATTTCAACCGATAAAAAAAGTACTGAAGCATAAGTGTATGAGATCGATAGCGCAAGTATGGTTTGCGCCGTTGGTGGTGGAATTGCTATGTACGATGACATTGTTGATAATATGCGGGAAATTTGAGAGAACTAAGCTTGAGATCCACTGCGGATCGTTGACTATCAATTTCTATATATAGCGTAGGGATCAAAAATCAGGTTTAGAGTAACCGATTAAATTCCAAGCACAAGATATTAATATATACAGTAGTTTCATGTTGCACAAAGTCGAACGATTATTCACTCAAAACTCAATAAAATACAAAAAAGCAAAATTCAAGTGTAAAAATTATTTCAATTTATTTCATAAGAGACCTGTCTGTTGTCTTTACGAGCCTCGCGGTCGATTTACCCGCGGTCTTGCAGCTCGAGGCGGGTTTCGTCGCGGTTGTGGCGGCTGAGCCGTATCGACCCTATAAAACAGACGTAAATACCTAACCTGTACTAACATAACGTTTTACTAAAAACTTACTGCCTTCTGTTCGAATTTTGTGGTCTTGCGGCTCGAGGTGGGTTGCGTCTCGGCTGAGGTGGCTGCACCACAATTTCCCTTTAAACGGCAATATTATTAATATCTTACCAACTTAATGATAGATGACGTCACAAAACTTACTGATCCCTCGTATCGACCGATGCTTGCTGGGCCGAGGAGTCTGGTAATTGTGATGGAGGTGCTATTTTCAAAAAAAAAAAAAAAAAGAAGTTTACTTAGCCAGAACGCTTTATAAACAAGTATTGTATATCGAGAGCGTTTATTTTCACTTAGTTTACCTTGAGTATCTCGCACCACAGCTCTTCTTCGCCCTGGTCTTCTAGGCGGGAGGGAAGGGGACATCCCTATTTGAGAAATAAAAATAATACGTGTTAAATTAAAGAAGAAGAAAAAACGAATAATAATATAACGAGTTTATCTATCTTACCTTGTGGAGGAGGATAATTTCCCCGGGGCACCAAAACAGGTCTATTTCTTGGAAATATCCTATTCATGGCATTAGTCGCCCTCAAACCCCACGGTGTAATAGGGTGAGGACGTCTTTGCAGCGTTACAGAGACGTAGTCTGCCGGGCGGTTCACTGCCATATTGAACCCCCTGAGACTAAGTTCCAGTCTCCGCTCTCTTTCATAGAAAGCTTGAGGAGCGATATGCTCCTCACGCTGCGATATCCAATGAATAGTTACCTGCCTTCGGTTCTCCCTTTCCTCCTGGCGCATTCGCTGGCTATACAAATGCCAGCGCGAAAACCTTCTTGTTTCTTCCCACCTCGGCAGGTCTCTCCACCGCTGATAATCTTCGAGGCGCCTCGAATAGGCCCGGCGCCTTGCGTTAAAGTGACGGCTTACCTGCCAGTCACAGTACGCCAGATGTAGACCTATAATAAAAGCTGTGAAAAAAAGAATAGAAACATATGGTTGGTAGTATTCCTGACCCGCAGGAATAGCACCGGTTAGCCAAGAAAACACGACCAAACAACTTGATGCGACCAGCGCATTAAAATGTTGCCTCCTAATGGAGGCGAGAGCGTCTTGAACTTGTTCTCCGTCCCTTGCCAGTCGTGCTGACACAACAAAACTCGGAACGGAGAAAAAAACTTGGGCGCTTGTATCGTATGCCATTATAAAAGTGCGCTTGTTATCTTTTGCAAGGTAAAAAGCGTAAAGCGCGTTATTTTGTTTACAAGGAGTTTTTATTATTTTTAGAGTTCACGTGATATTCTGGATTTGAATACGAAATTGCTCACGGTACTATTACGTCAACTCCTGCGGACATTAGAACAATTGGCTAGATATAAACTTTGTATATAATTGCTTACATGGATGAGTTTTTATAATATTTACATCATATGTTTTGGGTGGCAAAATTATATGGGAAATATGTTGCTCAATCAACTTAATAAGCCGCAGGTTTTCATTGTAACTAGTGCCACTCTCAACATTGTTATGTCTAATATAATATATTATTTATTATGTGGCGACGTAATGGCCTGAACTGCTGCGGGGTACTATATACGGGGGAATACTATAGTCAGCGGTCTACGGTATATGAACCAAAAACGGCTGATGTGGCTAAAACATCTCTATTTGGCTTTGCGGCAGCACATGACAGCAAATGGCGACATGTTGAGCGAGAGCTAAGAATGCAGTGGCCGCGTTAATGAAGTTCGAGATACGAGAACTTGATGAAGAAGATAAGCAACAAGGAAGAGAGACTGGAAGAAGGGGTTAGGAGGTGTAGTGAGCAAGTGCTAAAAGGCTCATCGCGGCTTCTGAGTCAGGTGTAACAATTTATGACTCGGGGTTGGGACATAGACTAAATTATTTAATAAAGTAAGGAAAACTTAAAATCAGATGTGAGACTAAGAGAGATGTAGCAAGGAGAATAACGTAAGTAACCATTACCGATTTTAAGGTTCAAGTATCCGTATGGTATTTTCTTTTAGTTACGGAAATGTTTCAATAAGTTTTCATTACACTTGGAATAAGTACATAACTATTACTATTATACAATTTGCGCTGAATAATGCAAATTGGATTTAATAGTCGAGTATACTTGCACTCGCTCTACACTGAGAGAAAATAGTAGCGTGGTGAAATAAACCCTGCTTGATTGAGCGGTGGAGAAGGGCACTGCCAATGGGGAAGTGTGTTTTCCGAAAATTTTGTCGATCATTTTCCGGAAGCCACGAGTGGGGTGCTGAAAAGTTTGTCGTTGATTCTTTATTTCCAGAACATACATAATAATTAGTAATAAAACTATTAAAGTACTCTCCATTAACATCTATGCAACAGCCTTTGCCACATGTTCGATTTTACTAAAACTTACAAGGGGCAAGGGTCCGGACTATATGGTGGATGGAGGAGACGTGCTATTCGTTCCTCTGCTGACTTGTGTGGCGCAGCCTTGTCGTAATGAAGCATGACATCCCGTAACAGTCGTTCTTCCCCTTTTTCCATAAAATTTCTGGCAATATGCTATTAGCATAAAGTTTATCAGTAACTGTATGCCCTTTTTTTCACTACAATTCGGGCTACAACTCCATCTACGGTATATAATATACAAACCATTCTTTTTTTTCGAATTTTGCGCCGTTCTCACAATTTGCGCTTTATTCTCCCTTTTCTATCCAAACCTTATTTGCTTCCTTACTTGAAACTGTAAAGAAATATATCCATGTTTTATCTCCAATTATAATTTCATAATATACAGCGTGTTAAGACCAAACAAAAGATGCGGATTATAAATATACGGTAACAATTGTATTGCAATACCTGAACGAATTTTCATGACGATAAGCGCAATTTTTGTTTACAAGTACTTTTCCTTGTTTACACTTTGTAAATGTTAACGCAAAGCTCATAACGCAAAAATAAACAATTAAACATTATAGGTCCAACGATTCTAATTTAGACAAAAAAAAAAACACACACAAAATAACAAACATTTCCTTCGTACAATCTCAAAAAACTTGGAAAAATAGGTACCGTTGAGCACAAGCGAGGAAACGAACGTAAAACCAAAGTTACATAAACACCTTATCGCGTTATCAGACAAAATATAATAATTGTTTTTTCGACCCGTCAACTTGTACAAAAATAAAAAATATGCAAAATATCTCAATTTTGCATGGGATTACGTAAACCGTGTCTTTGGCAACACCGATGTTTACCGAACGGTATATTGAGATGAGAAAGACTTGGACGCAGGCGCATGCAAATGACAAGTGGAATCAGACAGTATTTACAGATTGGACAGCCCTTGATCTTTTTCGAAACAGGGTTCATCGATGATACAAACTGGTGATAGCCCATTCCAATTCTGTCAGAAGGCAATGACATTTCCCGAATGGGAAAAACTCCCTTGTTTTGTTTCACAAACAGTATGGGTAGTCCTTTTTATGTGAGAATATTGCAAATCCAGCTTCTATCTGCTGACCCAAAGAATGTATGGGAGGAGCAATGATTCAAAGCACACGCCACGTGTCGCCAAGGGTAAATCATGAAGCATAATGTTGAAAAGCGCATGTTACAAAATACAGATAAATCAAGGGTTGAAAGATGGAAAGTAGTAAATAACTCAGTCTCAGCAGATGCGAAGCGACTCTATTGCATGACCACAACTATTAAATAAAGTACATAAGAAGCTTTTAAATAACCTAAATCGGCTTAATTAAATTCGTAATTGTTGAGATACAGTTTTCTGCACTGCTGTTTTTTCTTAACACACTGTAAGAGCGTTCTATGATATCAATAAAATTTTCTTTTATAGACTTCTTCAACTTGTAATAAAACTTTGGTTATTTAGATGCAAAAAATTTTGTTAATATTGGCTCGCTTTCTTGACAATTTTTTTTTATTGAATATAAGGTTTATATATCGAATATTTTTCTTATTGCGATATATTTGATTATAAAGTCGTTCTTACACATAATGTTTGCAGTAAATTTCTTTATACAGTCACTGTCTATAACATGTTTTGCTATAACCTCCCAAATTCCAGGAACGGTTTGTTAATTACTACTATAGGGAAATTGTTCAATATACAGGGTTCTCTCATATCGGCAAAAATTTCGTGGCCTAAACTGATTCGTATAAAGAGTTTTCGGTTTGGAAAAACCTCCGCTCAATTTTTTTATCGAAGGTTTTGTATAACTAGTTTTACTTGTAATATTAATGTTCTGAAATAGCAATGTGAAATTGGATCAAATAACAGTTTATTTCGATAACATCACATAACAATGTCGGTTGACGACACCTTGGTGTGATATTTAGATGGTGTGCCATTTTGGAATCGCAATTTGGTTCGGAACATTACACATTAATATAATAGTAGCTAGATAACCTCGTAGGCTTATTATAAATTGTACAAGGCTTTGAATATCTTGTATGCGTGATTAACAATTGTAGGAATTTATGTTCTGTAGCAACATCGTGACTAGATAATATAATGAATGCACATCAGGTAATGTTGCTACTAGCCTTATAGTTCAAGTCTTGAGACAAATTATAGGGTTTCTGTGTGTCAAATATACTTGCTCTATTCCTTATTTTGGAAAACGTTTGTT